TTAGAATTATATAAAAAAGTTTTGTGGTTGATTAGCATTTTTAAGCATTCATTATAGTAGTATTAGTAGAAAATAGAAAAAGATGCAAAATTGCAATGATGAAGCAGAGACTAAACAACTAGAGCAGTTTCAAAAACAATTTACAATGCAGTTTTAGGTGTTGCTCAAAAAATAAGAAACTAATGAAGTTACCCAATTATGGCAGCTAAATTCCAAATGACCATGGGTCAAGATTATTAAAGGTATAACCAATAAAATCAGCACTCAAAAATACCAAGCTGTAATAAGAGAAGCATATTTAGTGGTTAACGTTTGTTGCATAACAAGTTTACCCTGTTGCACCTAATGCAAAATAAAATATTTGATTTATGTGCATTTAATGAATAAAGTGTAGTTCAGCATTATTCATTACGCACCGATTTAGCATTTTATTATTCCATGCAAAAAGTTTTAGAACTATTACATTTTTTTTTGTCTTTACAGTTCATAGTTTTTCAGTTACATTTTATTTTATTTAAAATTGTTTAAATTTAATAATGATATCTGCAATTTATTAAATTGCTAATATTTAGTTATATTTTTAAGTTACTTTATAACCATCCATAGATAGTTATAAAATAACTTGAATATATTACTATAAATTTATATAAATAAATAAATATATATATATATATATATATATATATATATATATATATATATATATATATATATATATATATAAATACATATATATATATATATATATATATATATACATATATATATATATATATATATATATATATATATTATATATATATATATATATATATATATATATATATATATATATATATATATATATATATATATATATATATATATATATATATATATATATATATATATATATATATATATATATATATATATATATATATATATATATATATATATAGTAGATATATATATATAGTAGATATATATATAATTTTTTTTTTGACAAGGTTAAATGAAAAATAACTACAATAACTACATAATTTTTACTACTAAAAGTTTCATGCGTTTAGCAATCATCAGGTAAAAAATACATTGGTTTTTTCGTTAAAAAATATACTCAATAAACATCGTGGGGTTCAAAAACAATTATAAAATGTTAACTATTTATAAGCGTGGTTTGGTTTTTAAATGTTTGAGCTCGTGGTTGTCAAGCAAGAATTTTATTATATTATATATTATATATATATATATATACATATATATATATATATATATATATATATATATATATATATATATATATATATATATATTATATGTGTTCTGCCGGGTACCCCGGGATCTGGTAAATCAGCTGTTTTCCAGGGTACGGGGAATCTGATATTTTTTTTGCAGTACCCAGCACTGGGTATCTTAAAAAAAATTTTAATAAACATATTCCTTAAATGCTGTAACTATATGTTTAAGTGGAACTTTTAATTGTGTTGAAATACTATTAACAGGATTGCTTTTAGTTTTAACTTCAACCAACAAACTTCTTGGTATAGGTCTTAAAGTGTTACGGAGTCAATAACCACAAAACCCTATCTACTCTATGTAGGCGTGTCTCACTTAAAATATATTATTTTTTATTCTACTTTTTTAGGTTTTTTTTAGGTCTATTCTTTTTTTTGCTTGCAATTTTGCAATTTTGCAATTCTCTGTCTCTTTTATTCCATATTGATACATTTAAATTTCAAGTTAAGTTTAGCTCCCTATGCCACCTGTTACTACCTGTTACAGTGTTTATATATATTTAAATTTTCAAGTACCGACTTTTGGTTGCTCCTTGCTTTTTGCTCTGCAGAAATGGAGATTTATTATTTATACTCTTTTATATAAAAATCCAGTAAAATATTTGGTTCCAATACGAAGTTTAATTTAACTTCACGTGTTTTTTGCCCATTATCAGTTACTAAATCTTGAAATTAATTTATCACTACCTATGCTTCCTCCTCACAGAGTAATTAAACGTTTTTAGTTAACTTCTATCTAGCTAATTAAATTTCTACAGTAACTCAATGATTAAATTATTTCATTTGTTCATCTTACTAATAAGAATTGTTTCAAATGTGTTAAACTTTTCAAACTACGCAAAGCTTAAAATAGTTATTGAAATAACTTTTTTATTTATAAATAAATCATCTAGCGTTAGTTTTATTGGTTGAATCTTGTTGGACTTTTAATAAAAATTATATATACTCTTTGATAAATCAAAGAACATTTGTTTCTTTATTAAACAATCATTAATAGTAAGTTGTTAATTTAAAAAATAATATTGCTTAATTTTATAAAAAAAATTGTAAAAGAGCGATGTTTCAAAAATATTTGTTCTAATCGTATTTATTTTGCTTAAAGTTTTTTCGCGTTAAAAGCTATTTTTCTTTTTCTAATTGTCTTTCATCGGTCCAGTTAATCTTATTGCACTTTTTAGTTTGTTATTAAAATGTTCTTAAAGTAACTAAATAATCTGGTGATCAATTATCGAGTGCAATCGCACCCGCTTCCCGAATAAGCCTGCCCAAGCAGGGGAATTTTAGCTCGATGCAGTTAACATCTGCCCAAGATGAGTAGTTTTATTGAAGCACCATCTCTAGCCTTTACTCAACCAGTAGCCCAGAGGCAGGGGATTTTTAAGTCAGAGTTTATTTTTCCTAGCCTTTGCCTAAAAAAGTACACTCTATAAGGCAGCATGGTATGGGACTGGTAGCACTGGGTTACATAATACTAGTAGCATGTGATTTTGATAATTGTGAAGCTGATCTGATCTGAAGTTATTAAAAAAAGCTACTTCCTGGAAACTGTACCTAAAATAATTGGGCATATATTTTGGAAATAAAATAAGAAAAATATTTAGTCTAATAAAATATTAGAGATAAGGGAGAGCCTAGGTTTTATAGTTAAAGTTTCTAATTAGTTAATGAGCTTACACTGCATTAAAACAAAATTATACTTTTAAACAGAACATTTAAATATTTAAACACATACATATATAAAGTAACTTATAAGTGAGTGAGCACAGCGCCAGAGGTTAAGACAGAGCACAAACATGCATACAAAGTAGATTACAGGTGAGGCAAAACAGTATCTAAGACACCTCCAACTATATAAAAGACAAAAAATAAAAAGTATATATGTATATATTACTATAGGCATGACCAATTTTAAATAGTACTGATGACAGGAAGCAATATATATATATATATATATATATATATATATATATATATATATATATATATATATATATATATATATATATATATATATATATATATATATATATATATATATATATATATATATATATATATATCCTTATAGTGTAGTCGAAAGAGTCTTTTAATGTAAAAAAAGTCTCTTTCGACTACAATTTTAATTACCTCGTCTCTTAAGCTGTTTTTGATTGTCATCGAAATGTCAAAGCAATTAAATTAATGCAGAAGTACATTAAATTTTGCTGTTTTTTAAAAATTTTTTGAAAAATCGCAATAATAACGACTAGAAAGTTTTTTTTAGTTAGTGGTGTTTTTGTTTTTGTTTTATTAAAAAACATTTTTAAAACATGCGTAAATGTTGTTACATCGACTATCTTATAGCCTGCTGCTACAAGGGAGTGTTTCTACATCAACTATCTTATAGCCTGACTCGCAACAGAGTGCTGCTACATCGACTGACAAATAGCCTGATTCGCAAGGGACATTGACTGAGGGTTTGGTTTGGGCAGGCAGTCTATCATTTAAAAAAAAAAAATTAAATTTTTAAACTTTTTCTGGTCTGGTTTATTAACGCGCTCTTTAAAACAACAGTTTATGAGAAACTCTTTTTGACTACCATGCAAGAGTATATATATATATATATATATATATATATATATATATATATATATATATATATATATATATATATATATATATATATATATATATATATATATATATATATATATATATATATATATATATATATATATATATATATATATATATATATATATATATATATATATATATATATGTATAAATATATATATATATATATATATATATATATATATATATATATATATATATATATATATATATATATATATATATATGTATAAATATATATATATATATATATATATATATATATATATATATATATATATATATATATATATATATACAGCGTCTCAAAATGTTATCCAACCATACAGTTTTTTAAATTATTTTTCCTAAATAAAGGAATATATTTTTGTAATTTCTGGTCTAACTGGTTTTGTAACTAAGTCTGGTGATTGTGTAGGCCATTAAAAGACCTCAAAATTATTTTCAGCAAACCATTCCTCAGTTTTTGTGGCAGTATGCTTGGGATCATTATCTTACTGAAATGTAAAATCAGATCCTAGCCAAAGTTTTCAAGCAGATGATTTCAAATTTTTATTTAATATACTTCTGCATTGCACCTGAAGTTGAGTTTCCATTTGTCACTCCACAGTATCTTTTTCCAAAAACTTAACTGCATGTTTTTGAACTTCTTTGCAAACTTCAATCTTCTTTTCATGGGTTTCTGATCAAATATGGTTTATTACGCACAAGTTGTCCTTGAAATCCCTTGTCTCGGATATGTTTCTGATTTTCTAATTGAATAATTTGACTCCATAATCTTCTTCAGCCTGCTCAGCCAGTTTTGAAGCATAAATAAAGCAATTTTTTGTGACTGGCATAATTAAAATTTCCTCAACACTTTTAGAAGTCTTCTTTTTGCAACCCTTCCTGTCTGTCCATTTTAAAAAATGCAAGCTAAATAACATCCTATTTCCAATAGAATTAAAATGACAGACAAAGTAATTACCGTTATTCATTGTTTTTAGTATAGAGGGTAAAAAATTATTTTTTGAATATGTATATATTTATATAAAAATTTCATCAATAATAATTTTTTTTCTTGATCATAAACAAAAGGGTGGTATGAATAGTATTTTTTTATGTTAGATATTGATGAATGCATAGCTTCAAACAAACTCTGTGACTGGGGTAACAGTGTTTGCACAAACACTAACGGAAGCTATCTTTGTGCATGTGAGTCTGGATGGTTGTTGGATAAAAATAATGACAGCTGCGTTGGTAAGTTTTTTTAAATTATTGCTTATATATAAGTTTTTAGTGTTAATATTTGTATAGATATCTGAGTGACAGTTGTAAATCAAAGTGACTGTTGTAAAGGCAAAAAAAACTTTTTTTTAATATAAAACTGTTTATAAGTTAAAAGTTTTCAAAAAAAAGTTAATCAATAAAATCTTTATCTTAAATTATGCATAAAATGGTATTATTTAATATATATATATTAAGTTAATTGGGGCATCCAACAGTATTTATGCAACAGTTTTTTATGTATAAGAAAGGAAATTAATGTATATAAAATTGAGTTCATGAATAAAATTGCATAACCACTTTTTTTTTTTTTTTGAATGATACATGAAAGGGTGACATGAAATTTTTTTTTATATTAGATGTTGATGAATGCACAGCTTCAAACAAACCCTGCAACTGGACTAACAGTGTTTGCATAAACACTAATGGAAGTTACCTTTGTGCATGTGACTCGGGATGGTCATTGAATAAAAATAATGACAGTTGTGTTGGTAAGTTTTATTTAACAGTTTCAAAAATATTTAATTTTTCATAAGTTTACCCCTATAAGCATAAGCACCCCTTAAGGGGTAAACAGATTCTATATGTTAAACAGATTCTATCTGTTAAACAGATTCTATCCATAAGCACCCATTAAGGGGTAAACAGATTCTATCTGTTGACCAGCCTCACACTCCTTCTTCATCTATTAGGCTGGAGCAGATGTATTTTTAATACACTGTTTCCAGTTTAGGATGTTGAACGCTGGATCTTCTTGACTTGAGTCATGGGTTTTGCTTGTGTCTCTGTTTTTATGACTAGGCAACTCATTCTATTATCTCCAAATGAGGGTACAGCTCTAAAACTCAGTTTTATGGTTCTGAGGCCGGCTGGTAGTCAGGTTTTCCGAACTCTGTGGTAGCTCTCAGAAAGGCTGATTCCATCAACAGCTGAAAAATATAAGAGTACTAATAGTGCCATGTTGCGCATGGATGGTGTCCCTGTTTGTACTTTTAATGTGCATTGCCAAGGCCACATTGGAGCCCTTTGTTACGGCTTAGGGTTTATTAATGAAAATGAGGCAATTGCTTGAGCTATAAAGCAGAGTACTGAGTACTATCTATGTTTCGAGTCAAGTTCTTTAACAAATTTAAAAATGAATAAAGTGACAAAAACTATAAAACACAAATCCCACAGTCATCACCAAGTTCGCTAAACCTATCATTCACCAATATTCGTGGTCTTCGAAGTAACTTTTCTTCTGTTGAGTCTTATCTCTTGCAAAGTTCACCAGACCTACTTGCTCTTTGTGAGACTAATTTGAGTTCAGCTGTCTCATCTTGTGTTGATGGTTATCTTCCTTCATTTCGTAAAGACTCCAACAGTCACATGCTTGGCCTGGTCATTTACATTCGTAAGAATTCACCCATTTGTCGGGAAACTAGGTTTGAATCCACAGAACACTATTTTACGTGCTTTTGTTTAGCACCACTTCACTCTATCACCTTTCTCTTTGTTCTATATCGCTCTCCCTCATCTCAAGACTGCACTCTTCTTGATATTATTTCTGATTATATTGACCAAGCCCTCATTCTTTATCCATCAGCCAATATTGTTGTTGTCGGTGACTTTAATGTTCATCACACTGAATTGCTTGGCTCTAGTGTCAGTGACTCTGCAGGCATTAGGGCCCACAACTTTTGTCTTTCTCAATCCCTAACTCAAATAGTCAACTTTCTAACTCGCTTTCCAGACAACCCAAATCATTTACCTTCTCTACTCAACTTATGTCTTGTTTCTGATCCTAGTCAGTGCTCAGTTTCTTCACACTCACCCTTAGGTGCTTCTGATCATGGTTTGGTCTCTCTAAAACTATTATCTCATTCTTCTTTACTATCAGAATCCTGTCATGGTGCATAATACAACTACCTTAAAGCTGACTGGGACTCTTTCCATGATTTTCCATATCTTCGTGATGGCCTATGGGTAGAAATCTTTCATCTCCCTGTTGACAAATGTGCTTCTTACATAAATTCGTGGATTCAGGCTGGCATGGAATCCTTTATTCTCTCTCGACAATTCCAGGTCAAGCCTCACTCTTCTCCATGGTTTTCCTCACATTGTGCTGCTGCAATTGCCATTCGAAACCATTACTTCCATATCTATCAGCAAAACAATTCTCCAGAACACAGATGTCTGTTTATTACTGCTAGGAACCATTGTAAAAAAGTTTTGTCTAATGCCAAAACCAGCTATTCTCAGATCATGAAATATTGCATTTCATCACAAAAATTAGGCTCTCATGATTTCTGGAGAATCTTTAATAGTATCAATAATAAGAGCAAAGCTGTAATTCCATCTCTTTTGTATTGTTCAGACTTTGTCACCTCTCCTAAAGACAAAGCTGATTTTTTTGACAAGAACTTTTCATCATCTCTTGATGCCACTAGTTATGTTCTACCTGATATAGCTGTCAAACAGGTTGATCCATTGCTCAACAATGTATCACTCAAGCTTCTGTATATAAAGTGATTTCCCACTTAGACTCTTCTACAGCTTGCGGCCCGGACAACATACCTGTTATAGTCTTGTAGAAGTGTTCTCCGGAGCTGTCATCTATCCTTTCAATACTATTCAACAAGTGCTTATCAGAGTCTTGTTTTCCAACCTGCTGGAAAGCAGCATCTGTTATCCCTATTTTTAAAAATTCTGGAGAGCAATCCGATTCGTCTAACTACCGTCCCATTAGTCTTCTTCCTATCATAAGCAAGGTTTTTGAATCTTTAATTAACAAACACTTAATCTCTCATCTCGAATCTCATAACCTACTTTCTGATCATCAATATGGATTTCGATCTTCTCGTTCTACAGCTGATTTGCTATCAGTAATAACCGATAGGTTTTATCGCGCATTAGATAAAGGTGGAGAGGTTAAGGCCATTGCTCTTGACATTTCTAAAGCGTTTGATAAAGTTTGGCATGCTGGTCTTCTCCATAAGCTTTCTTCTTACGGTGTATCTGAAAACATCTTTAAGATTATTGAATCCTTTCTTTCCAATCGTAGTATAAAAGTTGTCCTTGATGGACAGCACTCTTCTTCTTATTCTGTAACCTCAAGGGTTCCCCAAGGTTCAATCCTTGGCCCTATACTCTTTTTAATTTACATTAACAATCTTCCAGATATTCTCACATCTAAGGTGGCATTGTTCGCTGATGATACTACCATTTATTCTTGTCACGATAAGAAGCCAACTCCCTCTGATTGCTTGCAGGGGGCATCTGAGCTTGAAAAGAATCTCACTTCTGCTACTGCATGGGGCTCACAGTGGCTGGTGAACTTTAATTCAGATAAAACTCAATTTTTTTCCACCAATCGTTATAGCAATAGTTTAGACCTTCCTATATTTATGAACGGTAATGTACTAGATGAGTCTCCTACCCTTCATCTTCTAGGATTAACTCTTACTTCTGATTTTTCTTGGAAACCTTATATCAAATCCGTTGCAAAATTAGCATCTGCTAAAGTTGCTTCTCTTTATCGAGCTCGTCACTTTCTTACTCTGGATTCTATTCTCTATCTCTATAAATCTCAAATCCGGCCTTGTAAGGAATACTGTTGCCATATCTAAGGCAGATCTTCTAATGATGCTCTTTCTCTTTTAGACAAGGTGCATAAACGCATTGTAAACATAGTTGGACCTGCTCTTGCAGCCAACCTTCAACGTCTGTCACATCGTCATAATGTTGTTTCTCTTTCTCTTTCCTACAAATACTATAATGGGCACTGCTCGAAAGAGCTAGCGTCTCTTGTGCCATCTACTCAAATTCATTCTCATGTTACTTGTCATTCAATTAAATCTCATTCATTTTCTGTTACTGTTCCTAAGTGCTCCAAAAACTCTTATTCGTCTAGTTTTTTTCCTCGAACATCAGTTCTTTGGAATTCGCTTCCTTCATCTTGCTTTCCTGATTCATATAATTTGCAATCTTTTAAGTTGTCTGTCAATCGTTATCTTGCTCTACAATCTTCATCTTTTCTCTTCCAGTAACTCCTAACACTAGTTAGTGGTTGCTTTCAGCCTTGTTGAAAGCGAAGATAATTAAAAAAAAAAAAAAGTTATAAAATTTATAGGGGCATCTTACAGTATCTTACAGTAACATAATTTCTAGACATAATGTTAATTGGTGCATGAAACAGTATTCAAGTAACAGCCTGACAAGTATAAGCCTGATAAGTATAAGTTTAAGTATAAGCCTGATAAGTATAAGTTTAAGTATAAGCCTGATAAGTATAAGTATAAGGGAAATATTGAATAACGGCCTGATTTTAAGATTAAGATTTAATCGTCGGTAAATTCTTTAAATTACGCAAAAAGTTTTTTTTTTTATATTAGATGTTAATGAATGCGCAGCTTTAAACAAACCTTGTAACTGGACTAACAGTGTTTGCATAAACACCAATGGAAGCTACTTTTGTGCATGTGAGACCGGATGGTCATTGGATAAAAATAATGACAGCTGTGTTGGTAAGTTGTTTCCTAATAGCAATTCATATCATAATTTTACAGTGACATTTTATATTAAACTACTGATAGATAATGGATAGTTCTAAAACTGAAGCTATGATTACTGTTTGTAAATTTCCTTTTGAATTATAAATTCAAGTCTGCAGCAAGTTTACTTATGGAACTACTATACAAATTATCAACATTGCCAAATTTTATCAGAGATTTTACGTTTTTAAGATTTTCATGAAAATACTTTAATAAGCATTTTTAACTAATTTATTTAATTTTGAACCTAAGTTTTTTTAAAAGTTTAATGTTTGTTTTTGTGTTATTTCTTTTTTTTAAAAAACATATAAACTACTTTTCCCTTATAAGTGTTTTATTTAGCGTAATACATTTTATTTAAAATTACTTACACCATTATACACAAAGTTACTTATCAATAAACTAAGTTGATATTATATTATTTTATATAAAAATTGACAAAAAAATGCTATGTACAAATTTTAAACAACTATAAATAAATTAACTTATTTAAACTATATAAACTTCTGCACGTTTGCCAAAAATTGCTCTTTGTGCAAAGCCATTGCTGAATTATTTTAATTAATTTAAGTTATTAAGCAACTGCTTTAAAAATATTTTATGTTCTCAATGTTTTTGAGAATTCTTGAGGAAGGAAAAAAAAATCTTTATTTCTTGAGAAATAAAAATCATTAGGAAGTGTCAAACACTATTTATCACTCCTAAAACTAAGTAACAAACTTTTAAATTTAGAATGTCTTCTAATGATTTTATTTAGTCTATAACCAATTGTTAGGTGGTTATTAATTTCTAAAATCATTTTATATTGAACTTTTCTACCATTTAATTACTACATTCCTAAATACTGAATTATGTTATTTATAAAGAGAAATGCAAAATAAAGTTATTTTTAAAAAACAATAAAGTATCGAAAACTACATAAATGTTGCTCAAACCTCAAAGTGTAAACTATTAATGTTATTATGAAAGTAATTGTATAAAGGAATATATTTTAGTAATTGTAATTAAAAAGTAATTGTTTTATAGAATATTTTTTTAATTACAAAGTTTAGCTCATATGTAGATAAAAATTACCACATTCAAAGTTAGTGTTAAAGATGTTGGCAAAACAAAGTATCTTTGTTACTTTGTTTATAGACAGTAATTGCGCACACAAAAACTCCACAACAAACTTACATAACCATCTCAATCATTGTTGAATTATTGCAAAGTAACAAAGTAGTAGCAGCAGAGCCAGAGAAGTAAAGCATGTGTTAAAGAGTCTTATTTTAATGATAAACATCTGACGTTTGTCTTTACAACTTGTAAACAAAGAAGTTGAACAAAGAGCTGCACAGTTACAATACAATTGCTGTTTTTCAAGCCTGACATCATTTTTACCACTTGTCCAGTTAAAGAAGTTTAAACCTATCAAATTTAACAGAGCAAAGCATAAATCAAGCCTTCACTAGATGGAGCTTAACACATTAAATTCTTGAGAGGTTCTGTAAGCAGAAATGCTATTCCATTGTATTGCATTACCAGATCTCAAACAAATGCAAAGAATGCTACAAAAAATCATGGTAACTTGCTGTAATATAAGCTTACAAAATCACTAAAATTGCTACAAATGACATGAGTACAGAAACTACATGTACATCACAGACCATACCATATATTTATGGAATGGAAAGATTTTTATGCTTGTGACACAGCAACTGGAATTAAAATTGCTGTTGATAAACTTATAAAAGATTTCAGCAGCCATTTTCAAAAATACAAAAATAATGTTTATCAGAAAACCTCAATGGTGTTTGAAAATATGTTGAAGAAACAAGTCATAATCCATTTAAGAAAGTTCTCCATTAAAACATTTATTACTTTTATTTTGAGTCTCATTTACAAAAGCAATAGAAGTTGGCAATGCTGAGATAGAAGGCTCTTGATCAGTCTCAGAAGGGTCATGTAAGTTATTTCTGTATTTTTCAACATCAAGTGCCAGACTGTTATCTTATAGTTATGGTTCTACAGTTTAAAAAAGAAACTAATGAGCATAAATATTTAGAGCTTATTTCATCGCATCAAATAAGAATACCTCACAAAATCCCAGTCACTCTGGCGGAGGAAGAAAAAAGAAAAAAGTACATATCAAAGAAGAATACTCAAACTGCCAAGTTAAAATAGTATACCTTGAGAATTTGTTTAGCTGAAGGTTTTTATTTATAAAATTGTAAATTTAATTAATATTTGATATTTATATTATTTTCTTTGTAACACATAAAATTTTTTGTTGTCATTGCAATCTTTTTAGAACTTATTTGTTGAAAATCTTCTAACAATAGTTCAAACTTTAAATTATAGTTTATTTTAATGATAACGCCTAATGTCATTGAATAGTTATTATTTGTTAATAGCTTATTTTTACAATTTATTTTGCCTAATAGCTTAATGTTGACAAATTGCTTAATGTTATTGAATAGTTATTATTTAGTAAGTAATAGGCTAATGACTTGTATTAGTAGTGTTAATTTCACTCATCAGTGCTAAGTGCTTACTAATTAGTAAATTTTTTTTATACTTTAAAGCTCAAACTAACGTGTAGTTTATAATTTAACTTTATAGTTTATTAGGCTTGATTTAAGATTGATGTGAACTTATTCATAAATAATTAATCCCATTTTCCAAATATGAAAATTGAAATATTTTATCACATCAAACTTGAACATCAAGTAAAACTTGAATGCAATTATTCATTTACTAATTTGTAGTTTCTAAATACTACCATTAATTAGCTACTTGCTACTTTCTGTATAACTTTAAAGTTTAAAATAAAGTTCAAACTTCATAAACCGATGCCAAATGTTAACTTTAATAGATTCAACTTTTAAACTTCAAGATGAAATGGGAATATTCATTTCGAAAATTGCTCTTACATTTATTTAGATTTTTTAAATTTGTTCAACATAATATGTGCTCTAAAGTACACTAAGTCTCAAAATGAGTCATATATTTAGAACTGCAGATTTAAAGGAGTGTCTCCCTTATACCTAGTATTCCATACCTACTTGGTAATCAGTTACTGATTAGTAACTAATTTAAGCACTAATATAGTTGCTATCTAGTAACTTCTAACTACCCACATATAAATTAGTACTATCTAGTAACTTCTAACTAACCACATATAAATCAGTTACTATCTAGTAACTTCTAAGCATCCACATTTTTTTTTTTTTTTTTTTAATTTTACTTCACCTCCTCAAGGCCGAGAAGGCCACTACAGACAAGGAGGCTACTTATTTTGTGGCTATAACCCTCTCTCAACTCTATAACTCCGAAACACGAACCTTGACGAACAAGGCTGCTGCGCGGAGAAATGAGTTAAGCGCGGTACTACCAGGGACGTGGTGGGGATCGAACTCGGATATAAATTAGTTACCATCCAGTAACTTCTAACTACCCACATATAAATTAGTTATTATCTAGTAAATACTAAGCACCAACATAAAATTAGTTATTCTAATAACTTCTAACCCCCTATAAATAAAATATAAATGTTATGGATTTTTTTAATAACAACCTGATGATTCATATTAGCGCGAAGGAATTTTGAAGAAAGTTATAGAATTTCTGGAAACGCGCTGTGTCATTGAGCCAATAAATCTTATTGGCTTAACGGGTTTGCTGACTCAAGAACATGCTACAGCGATTTTTCTTTGGATATTTTTATTGTCGTTTTGTTGTTGACAGAAGTCTTAAGTTTGTTTTATTTTGTTAAAGTTCAGTAGATTTCTGTAAAGAATCTTAATTAGAATATATATACAACATTCAATTTATTTTGGTACATTCTCAGAACCACATATAGTGATGATGAAATGCCTTATCAACTGAAAGAAGTTAAATTGCATTATTATAACATGTACTATAACATATTATTATAGTATTTATACAAAAATTAAACAAATTTTAGCTGTACAAGTATAAAAGCTTTGGCTTTGGCAAAATCTTTTGGCAAAATCTTTGGCTTTGGCTCCACTGTATTTATGTTATAAACACAATCGTTTTCGACCATGTAGTTTTCCAATTTACTAAATATAATTAATAATAAATTATTTATAAATATAAAAAGTATTACATTTAATTAAGTAAATTATAGATTGTGTTGTTTTAATATATTTGTTTTAGCTGAATGCACAATTTTAAATAATCCTTGCAAATGGAAAAACGCTGTTTGCATTAACAACAATAATGGTTATGAATGTATAGAAGGTATAAATTGTTTTAGATTTGATTGTTTATGCAAAAAAAAATCAATGTGAAGATTTGAAAACTCTTAACCTGTTTTAACTTTTTGAATGTTATCAGTTTTTTGTTTTGTTTTAGAGTCAAGCAATTTTGTTTCGTTTTGGAGTCAAACAAAATTTTTTATGTTATCAGTTTCTCATTGTTTTAGTCTAGCCTTAAATTAAAGTCCAGCCTTAAATTAAAGGTTTTTTATGTTATCTCTTAGAACTACATACAAAAACTCAAAAAAATAAAAAAGTCATATATCAAACTAAACTAAACAAAAGTTATGCTAGGCTCAAATTAATTTTTTTTGGCTGATGCCTTTTGTCTGTTGAAAACTGTGCTTCTTTTATAATCTCCTGGACTTGAGCAGGCATGGTAGCTTTTATTCTTTTTGTTTTAAAATTGAGCCCCACTCTACCCCATTGTTTTTTCTACTTGCAGCAATCATTTCTAATTGGCATCATTTCTTTCATCTTTTTCACAAGATCAACTAGAAAACAAACTAATTTTTATCATTGCAAAAAATTGATGTGAAAAAGGTCTAGTGTCTATTATTCTAATTTACTAAATCTCCAGGATTTAGGTTTAAGAGACTTTTGGAAAATCTTTAACAAATAAACATTTTTTAACATTTGTCATTACAAAGACAAGTATTCTAAGACTTATCTTTTAACTGATAAAGCAGAACTATTAGCATAAAACTAATACCTTTTAATGAAACAAGTTAATCCTCTGTTAGACATCTAAATCACTTCTGACAAAGTCTTTCTTGCTTAAACTATTTAACATTATGTGGTTTGTAAACATTTCAAGTGTTTTCTGTTACTAAACTAAGTCTTGTTTTCCTGCAGAAAAATCATAAGTTTAAATTTTAAAACCCCCAGTTCAAAAACCCCAGAAAAATACTCTTTAAAGTCTTTAATTTTTGTTAAACAAACATTTTTTTTATTTAACAGATTTTTAAATATCTTATCTTGAGTCCTAATTTCTGAGAAATTTCAATTTTTTTGTTTTGCTGCTATTAACTGATGAATGCTGCTATTAACTTGATGATTTTCAACCCAAACAAAACTCAGTTATTTACTGTTAACAATTATTATAATACTTTTGATAATCTTATAAAGATAAATGGCAACACTCTTAAAGAGATCTCTACTTTATATCATTTAAGTTCTTTTGCTTATTTATCTTTAAACATGCTTTAAAGGTTTAAATCATATCATACATTAACGTCATAAACTTGTAAAATAAATAAAAAGAATAACGTAATATAATAGAAACTGTAATAGTTTGAAAACTACGAGTAAATCTAATACAAATTAAATTTACTTTGACAATGTATGCATTGTTTACTTTTTTAAGGTAAATTAATAAATTCTAAATTACAAATCATATAACTCTAGATAATTATCAGTGCAAGTTTTAAATAAGTTCAAGTTTTTGCAATTGATGATAAAATCAAGCAATTTGTTTCATATTGATGAAACTCTATTGGTTAAGAATTGATGGCAAAGATTGTAGTTTTAAACAATTTCTCTTCTGATTTTGAGCATATGGGCCCTTGTGTTGGGCTGATATGATTAAGAAGACAAGTTTAAATTTGCAAACAAGATGCATTAAATTTTAATATAAAATAAATAGGTAAATAAAACTTTTTTAATTTAACCACCTAATGACCTCAAAAATGTATCTATAAAATGAAAAAATAAAGAATTACAAAAAAATAATGATAAAAAATTATAGTATATAATATAGTATAATAAAAAGCTTTAGTAGCTCAAAAACTACAAGTAAAATTTATTAGTAATTAATTTCACTTTGACAGCATACTCATCTTGGGCATATGTTAACTGCATCTAGTTAAAATTCCTCTGTCTTGGGGCTCTTGGTTGAGCAAAGGCTAGAGATGGTGTCTCGATAAAAAAACCCATCTTGGGCAGATGCAAACTGCATCTAGCTAAAAATCTTCTGCCTAAGGGTTTTTGGTTGAGTAAATACAAAAGACGGTGTCTTGGTAAATATAATCATCTTGAGCAGATGTTAACTGCATCTAGCTACTGTCTTGTAGAAGGTCTCCTAGCCAAAGACTTTAATGGTAAGCAAAATAGTTCTATTGACCAGCCTCAATCTCCTTCATCTATTAGGCTGGCTTAGAAGTAAACTTGTGTAACGTTGTTTCCTGCCTAGAATGTTGAATACTGGATCTTCTTGACTCTACTCATAGATTTATGCTCGTGGCTCCTTGGTAGTGGCTATGCAATTCTTCCTGTAATATTCTAATAAGGGTACAGCTTTAAAACTCAGTTTAAAGGTTCTGAGGCCGGCTGGTAGTAAGTTTTCCCAAACTTTGTGGTAGTTTTCAGCGAGGCTGATTTCATTAACAGCTAAAATTATCGGAGTATTAACAGTGCCATGTTGCGCATAAATAGTGTCTCTGCTTTTGATGCACATTGTCAAGACTAGATAAAAAGACCTAAGTTACAACTTTGGGTTAAATAACGAAACTAAGACAACTGCAAAGCTCATTGCTTGGGATGCCATGCTCTATCTATGTATGACTCAAGTTCTCTTTATACTTAAATGATGTCCGAAATAAACTAAAATATTAAACATAAAAAACTACCTCCACCATCTAATTGTTTCAGTATATCTTTCACAAATAATTGTCAAAATTCACAAACTTGCTTGCTTTCAGTAAAACTAATTTAAATTTGGCTGTTTCTTCTTTAGTTGTTCATTATTGATGGATACTATCATTTAATTCGCAAGTACTTTGATTGTCACATGCTTGTTATGGGAGTATACTTACGCATCAATTCAATTTGTCTAGAAATCAGGATTGAATCCCTTGATCTTTCTTTTATGCGCTTCCGCTTAGCACCTCTTTAATCTATCACATTTTTCTTTTAGATGTAGTTCATGAACAAATTGACCATGCCCTTTCACTTTATCCATCTGCCAATATTGTTGTTGGTGGTGATTTTAATGCTCATCACACTGAATAGTCTAGTTCTAACACTACTGATCCTGAAAGCAATAAAGTTTATAACTTTGCATTTCTCAACCTCTTACTTAGATGGTTAACTTAATCAGTTAACTTTGTGACTCATTTACAAGACAACCCTAATCACTTACCTTCACTCCTTGATTTGTCTATGACCCTAGCTTGTGTTCAGTTTCTCCTCCATTAGGTAGTTCTGACCATGCAATCATCTTTATAAATTTTTCATCTTATACTTCTCCTTCAGACATCATCACACTACTAATTGCTAACCTAAAGCTGACTGGGATTTTTTTTGAAACTTTTTTGTGACGATCCTTGGGCTGATGGCATTTCTCTCTCCGCTGGTGCACTTTTTATGCAACCACCTAGATTGAGGCAGGAATGAAAGCTTTTTATTCTTTCTTGTCAGTTCCAATTCAAGTCTCATTTTACTCAAACCTTCCATTCCAGTTAAAGAGGTTAAACCATTGTTAGACAATTCAAATCACTCCAGCTTCTGTTGCTAAAATCATATCTCAATTAAGCTCTTCTACAGGTTTGTTGTTCAAACAAAATTTCTATCATAGTCTTACAAAAGTGTTCTCCAGATCTCTCTTCGATACAATCTAAACTATTAAATGAGTGCTTGACTGAATCTTATTTTTCTACCTGCTGGATAATGGCATCTTTGGTTCCAATTTTTAAAAAACTCTGAAGATCAGTTACAGTAAAAGGATGTGACTTAATTGAATGACAAATAACACAAGAATGAACTTTAGCTAGCTCTTTAGAGCAGTGCTATTATAGTATTTATAGAAAAGAGAAAAAGAAGCAACATTATGATGGTGTGATAATAGTTAGAGGTTGGCTGCATAAGCAGATCTAACTATGTTTACAATGCGTTTTTGCATCTTGTCTAAAAGAAAAAGGGCATCATTGGAAGATCCTCCCTAGATATGGCAAAAGTACTCCATACAAGGACATATTTGAGATTTATAAAGATTAAGAATAGAATCCTGAGTAAGAAAGTGGTGAGCACAATAAAGAGATGCAATTTTAGTAGATGCTTATTTTGAAATCAATTTAGTATATGGTTTCCAAGAAACAGGCCCATACAGAGACTTTGTGGTGCCCAGGGTCAAATTTTGTTCAGTGCCCCAAACTTTGGATTCCTGGATATATATTGAATTAAGGATAAATTTTACTATTTATTGACCATATGTCTACTATCACATTGCAATTTAATGAAAACAATAATTATTTTATGTTTAACTATCGCTGCACATAAACACTCTATCTTATACTATATTATATTTAATATATATTTAAACTTGGTTATATATAAAAAGGAATATAAAAGGAAAATACCAATACAAATTAAAATGAATGGAATAATTTATTTCATCAATAAAATGTTAATTTTTGTACAATAAAGTCTTGGTAAGGTTGTTTTCAATTGAAATGACCATAAGATTAGTAAGGCGTTCTACAGTTATTGTTGATCGCAATTTGGATTTGATGAGAGCAAGCTTACTAAAAAAGCTCTCTTCTTAAGACATTGAAACCAGGATTGTCAAAATGCAGATCGAAGGAAATATTCACTTAAAGTCTTTCTAGTAGATTCTGTTGAGCAACTTGATAGAAGAATCAGATTCTATTTGTCCAAAAGTATCGCTTCAGAACATCTAGATGATTCAATCATCAGAACTTCAGAACATCTAGATGATTCAATCATCAGAACATCAGAACATCAGAAGATGATTCAATCAACTCCTCTTCTTTTCTATCATTAATGTAGAGATTACAAGATTAGGACTTTGCATTTTTCTTTCTGACTAAGTTTTTGTCTATCACTAGAAGTTGATGGAGAACACCATATGAATGAAAACACATCCGTTGTCTTTTGAGCTTTATCCATTCTGTATCTTATGATTTTGAGCTTTATCCATTCTGTATCAAGAGCAACATTAGGTACATTCACCTTTTCGTCTTTGTG